CCAGGGGGCAGCTCCTGCGTTGAGCGTCTGCCCCATGGTGGTCAGTGCATGTCATAGAGACCGGTTGAGCGGTCGTAATAGTCGCTTAGGCTTTTATATATATATATAGATATAAATCTGAAACAAGTTTTTTTTTTTAATTTTCCTTACAACTTTCAATACAATCTGAAATTTTTTATTATTTCTCTTTTAATGACATTTGCAACCCATTGAATTGATTTCACAATTCACCAAATGAGACACAATCTGCGGTTTGAAAAACAATGGTATAGAATGGGGATTTCTTAATCTTGAAGATTTTAAATTTTCATCCTAGGGCCAATTAAGTGTCATTGGCAGTGTTGAATATGGGCAACATAATGTTTTAGGAAGACTGATCTAGTGGAATTATTATATAAAATGGATTGTAGTGGACAAAGATTAGAAACTTCAGAAGGTATTCACAAATTAGTTCAAGAATGAAATGACAAAGCAAAAATAAGGTGATGGAAGTAGGAAGGGAAAGGTAAAAACTTTTCAAAAGAGAAATCAACAAATTCTCGTGTTAGTGATTGGACATACTAGGTATCCAAAAATCAGGATTGAAGACAGAGTTATAGGTTTCAGTCTAAGGACTGAGAAGAAAATGGTACTGTTGGAGAACTATATTCCAAAGAAGAAACTGGCTTTTGAGAGGAAAGTGAGTTAGAGTTTTAGATATTTAAATCTGAAATGTAAAGGGAAATGCCCAGGAGGGGATTTGAACTGTGGTGCTCTCCCTGGGATAAGAGGGAAGAACTAGAAGAACCTCTTCGTAGAGGTTGAAGCTGCCATGGGAATGTGATCCTTAAAGGAGAAAAGAGTGAGGAAGGGGCAAGATGAGAGCATCGAGGGTAAGATTCTGGGAAACTCACATTAGAATTCTGCTAGGAAATTTAAAAGACAAAAGGGAAGGAGAGGTTAGAAGAAGATCTATAAAGATTTAGAAGATTTTCCAGTTCCTTTCATCTCTGAAACTTAAAGTACACACTATTTAATCATTCTGGGAGTGATTATTTTTTGGATACAGTTTCTGGAAGAGAAATGTAAAATAATGAACTATTTTTAGATATATAACAGGTTGAAAAGAAGGTTTTTCTATCTTTGGGACCTTAACATTTATATGATCTTTCCTTATAAGAAGACCTGAAATCTTAATGTAACTGATAGCCCCAATGGTTGTATTTTATTTACATGAACATATAGAAAATCTTTATTAGGGACATATTTATTACTGAGGATTCTGATTTACTTAATTCCCCTGCTACTTTCATAAGCAGCTAATACCTACCTCACTACTAAGAAAAAATCATAAAATACAGAAAGGAATGCTTACAGTGAGACATTTAGTTTAGGACTTGAGTAACTTCTCAAGATGTTTTAGATATTGACTGGAAATTTAAGATATTATATTTTCTACATGATTAGTTTAGTGATGATCAGAGTATCTGTGATGGAGCCCAAAGGCTTTTTCATCACTCTTATCAAGAGTACAGGGGAGAGCCCTAGCCAGTTTTGCTCAGTGGTTAGAGTGTTAACCTTCAGACTGAAGGATCTCGGGTTTGATTCTGGTCAAGGGCACGTACCTCAGTTGCAGGCTTGATCCCCAGCACCCAACATGTGTGGGAGGCAACCAATGGATGTGTCTCTCTCACGTCGATGTTTCTCTCTCTCTCTTTGTTTCTCCCCCTCCCTTCCACTCTCTAAAAAAAAAAATCAATGAAAGAAATATTCTTGGATGAGAATTAACAAAACAAACAAACAAAAAAAGAGAAAGGGGGGGGGGAATAATACAGAGAAAAAAACATGTAAGTTTTGACATCTTTGTCACATGAATTTCAATAAAAATGCCACAGCTCTTCAAAGAGCTCTTAGTAGCACTCCAATAAGCCAAGGGTTTTAAATAAGAAGCACCTCCTGTTTCATTTCCAAACACATTTGTTAACTTAATTATTTGTGTGGGGCCTGCATGATGTGAATATCTTAAACATACTTCAGCTGGTTGCTTGTTTCAAAGAATCCTAACTTGTTATGTATACTTTTTTGTTTTGTACTCCCACAGCATCAGATTATGTTACCACTCTTTTCCTGATAGGGACTGGATTCCAACAGTATGACAACTTTATTTGTAGACATGATTCACATTTAATGATTAGGACATTGATCTAGTATTTGGTTACATCTTATAGACAACTGTCTCTGGTTTCATTTTAGCTCCAAATGAAAGTCTAGAAAAGAAAAAGAAACCACTTTCTTTGAATTCCCTAAGGGCTAAAATTGAATACCTAGTGTTCAAGCCAAACCTAAATGGATATTTACTTTGTTTTTTATTAAAAAGAAAAAAAACATCTGAGCTGTTTAGATTTTGAACTTCTAGCTCCATTGCTCTGAGTTAAAATTGCTTTTTTTTAAAAAATGGCCTAAAAAATGTTGATGCCTAGAAATGGTGCATAATGCTCTTTTAAAAGTATCCTGTCTAGGTCACTTAGAGAATGAGTTGTTCTGCTCAACTGAAATTTCCAAGATAGACAAAAGCAACTCTTAAGCACTATTTTATAAAACTGTTTTGATTAGAAAGATCTATAATAATGAAAGTGTAATATGCTAATCAGACCAGACGACCTTCCAGACTAAGCTGAGGCTGCCGCCACGGCTGTGAGGGCCGAGCCCCTTGAACAAATTTCGTGCATTGGGCCTCTAGTTTTTAGATATTACACGTCTTTTTATCCTCCTTGGACCACATATATTAAACATAACTTAATCTTTGCAAGGTGATCTATAACTAAAATCGTGAACAATTCTTAAATTGAGCTAAAAATGCCTGGCCGTGTGGCTCATGGTTGAACCAGGAGGTCAGGGTTTGATTCCGGTCAGGGCACATGCCTGGGGTTGCAGGCTCGATTCCCACTAGGGGGCGTGCAGGTGGCAGCCAATCAATGATTCTCTCTCATCATTAATGTTTCTATCTCTCTATCCCTCTCCCTTCTTTTCTCTGAAATCAAATTTTTTTTAATGTGCTAAAGCAACAGTACCATCATCAGGTGTGGCAAATAGTCCTTTTCATAGGTGTTAGTATGTTTGTATCTTGGGTCCATTTTTTCTAGTTTATAGTTTTTCTTACTCTTCCTTTGATATCATTTTTTTTACTGTCAGTATATGTGCCTGTTCTATCATATTGGCTTATAATGTAGGTAACCAAACTTATTCTTCTTTTACGACAATTATAACAAGAATAAATAGGCCCTGACTGGGTGGCTCAGTTGGTTGAGCATTATCCTATACACCAAAAGGTCACCACTTGGATTCCTGGTCAGGGCACATGCCCGGGTTGCAGGCATGCAAGAGGCAGCCAATCTCATGTTGATGTTTTTCCTTTCGTGTGTGTGTGTGTGTGTGTGTGTGTGTGTGTGTGTGTGTGTGTCTCCCTCTCCTTTTCTCTCTCTCTAAAAAAAATCAATTAAAACATATATGTGTTTTAAAAAGAATAAATAGGATCCATATAAGATTTTAAAGGAATATTCCTAAGAGTAAAATAAATTGGCATACTTACTTTGGCTCTGTAGTCTTTTTGCTTGATAGCTGGTTCTTGCCTAAATTCTATGTAAGAGGGGGTAGCCAAGTAGTTCTATTTAGAAATGAGAGATGTGGCTCTATTAAGCTTGTGCTAGAAGAATACTTCCCTTACCATCTTCCCCTTTTATACATGTAAAAATTTCATGATTCTTATTCTCTTAGTCTGAGAACCTCTGAGTATTGAGAGTGGTTGCTCTTGTTCTTGTCACAGCCTATAGAACTGAAGTTTAACCATTAAAGACCCATTATTAACCTTTATTATAAAATATTAACTATTTTCAGATGCCACAGTGGAGCTATCACTGGACAGCACACAGAATAATCAGAAGAAGGTGCCAGCCAAAACACTCATATCTCTTCCTCCACAGGAAGCCACAAATTCTTCTAAGCCCCAGCAAAGCTACGAGGAGGTGAGAATCTATGCTGTGTGTGTGTGTGTGTGTGTGTGTGTGTGTGTGTGTTTAGAACTATGTTGCCAGTCTGAAGTTGAGTATGAACCCTGAGTAAATATTTAGTATCTGAAGCTCCCATATTCAAGAGTATAATCTCTTCATTCCCTCCTTAGCCTGACAGAGGCAAGTTTTCCAAAAATCTAGCAATTATTCATTATGATCAAAATAAGGTTTGAAGATAATAGATGTAACAAAGACCTTTGAACAGCCTCCCAACTTAAAATTGTGGAAGTTGGTTCATTGGCATTGTTGGGAATGGACAACTGAACACTGATGCATAGAAGGATAAATCTTGATGTTACATTGGTACAGTATTAATACAGGGTAAAGTTAATAGCCTTTTTTATTATAGTCTCATGATTGTTTTCTCTTTAAAAGCTAGAGGAAGAAGAACAGGAAGACCAATTTGATTTGACAGTCGGTATAACTGATCCTGAGAAGATAGGTGAGTGTACTTGGGACTCCTTGTGACGTTAGGATGCGGCTGTGGGAAGTATAGTTAGCTAATTTCTAGATAGTCAGGTCCAGAACTGAACTAGCCATTGTAAAGTACTTCCTCGTTATCTTTCCTGTAAAATTATACGCCTTACTATGCTTCTAAGGCCAGAAATGTCAGTTACCCAGTACTTTACTTAGGTTTTTCTTGGCTTTAGGCATAAAAATCAGAGACTTCAAATACTATTAGAATCCCTTTTTTAAAATCCAGACATCTCCTTCTCCCACAGAGTTAATTAAACCATTTTATTCCCTTTTGAGATCACAAATCCCATTTAAACACCCTAAAAGACACATGTTCTATATTTTGGGGATACTGACTTTGTTTTTCCCTCAAGAAGTTTGAAATTCTTGTTACAGACCATTTATCATGTACTCTTGCTGTCCTAATGAAGTGGGGAGGTCTGCATCTATTTTAGGTAAAGAATAAAAGACCCAGGTTGAATCTTGGTCAAATTGAAATTAAATTTTCAAGAAACACAATACTTAACTTTTGCAGAAGTTGGATTTTTAGAATAACCTCTCCATGTCCCAAGCTTGTGAAAGCTATTAGTGAGCAGAGAGCAACAGGCCTCAACTTTCCTTGTTCCAGGTATATCCCTACAGAAGATGCTATACAGAGCCTTATCCTCCTAGCCTCTGGTTAAGTGGAAAAATGTAATTTCCAATCTTCTGTCTATGCTGAATTAGAAATAGGAATTTATAAAGTCTAGTTAAACTTTATACCAAAACAGTTTGTCATTAAAATGTTGAGTTTTACTTTTCCTAGACTGTTGCACTGGTAAGATATTTATGAGCATCTTATACACTTCGCTTTCCAACAACAGAGGAAATTGAGGACCAATTGTAGCTTTCCTGTCAGGTCACAATTAATTCTATGAAGACGTATTTCCAAATAAGGTCACACTCTGAGATACTGGGATTTAGGACTTTCAGTATATCTTTTTCAGGGGGACACAATTCAACCCATTTTTTTTAAACATCATGTGGATCAGATTTATTTAAATACAAGTCACTGCCCTAACCAGTTTGGCTCAGTGGATAGAGCGTCGGCCTGTGGACTGAAGGGTCCCAGGTTCGATTCCGGTCAAGGGTATGTACCTTGGTTGCAGGCACATCCCCAGTAGGGAGTGTGCAGGAGGCAGCTGATCGATGTTTCTAACTCTCTATCCCTCTCCCTTCCTCTCTGTAAAAAATCAATAAAATATATTATAAATAAATAAATACAAGTCACTTTTGAGGATAAGTCTTCATCTTCTTAGGTTGGTGCCAAGAACCAGCTGCTTAAAGCATTTTCATGTTCAAAGCCTGATCTTATCGAACACCTTTTATTTGTGTGGGCTGTTTATTCAACATGAGGTTCTCATTTCTACATACATTAAATAAAATTAGAATCCTACTTCTATCAGGACATGCTTTTTTTCAGTCTTGGTAATTTGCATATGCCATCTTCAACTTTCTGAAGTTATTTAGGAAATTAACAAATTTAAAACTGCTGTACTGCTAGCCCATTTCTATATCTTGTGAGTTCTCTGTACATGCAAGTATTTCTCTTTCCTCACACATTTCCTCAGTGAGAGCAGATGATATGTAGGCGAAGTGTCTGAAGATCCTGCTTTGCTACTGTGGGGTATTTTGTGTGTGTTAATCCTCACCGGAGGATATTTTTCCATTGATTTTTAGAGAGAATGGAAGGGAGAGGGAGAGACAAATAGAAAAACATTGATGTGAGAGGGACACCTAGACTGGTTGCCTCTCGCATGCACCCAACCAGGGCCAGGAATTGAGCCTCCAATCAAAGTATGTACCCTTGACCAGAATTGAACCCTGGACCCTTCAGTCCAGGGGCCGACACTCTATCCTCTGAGCCAAACCGGCTAGGGCTGCTACTGTGTTTTATGTATATGTGCACTTAGACTTTTCTTAATTGAAGGCAGTAGATTATGGGATTGACCTTTTGGATATTTGACTATGACTACTAGACTATGAATGAAAATTTTAAGACTTTTTCTATAAAGTAAATCTAGATATCTTTTTCCTTTTATCAGTGGTAAGTATCCTTAGTGATATTAGGCAATGCAGTATGAGTGGTTTAGAAGAGAACTAACAGCAATAATCAGTATAAAGTAATTTTTAAAATTGAGTATATGATTTCCATTTTATACATACTCTTATTAGGGCTGGCAAGGTAGAGAAGGCAAGCCCTCTATTCCTATATAGGTACACAGCTTCTTTGTGTACTTTCCCAGCCACCTCACTGAAACCAAGTTGCAGTATATGACCCTGCTGATCCAATACTGCACCTTCTTCCCCTGGGCCCTTACCTCACAACGAGTTCAGAAGCTTAAGCAAGTAGTAATTGTTGACCTAGGTTTCCTGTTTGGTGTGGGGAAAAACCAAGGGGTGGGGAGGAAAGGGACAAAATCAACCCCAAACACCAGAGTCTAGAGGCTAGACTCTAGCCCCAAACATCAGAGCTGTATCTGTCTACAATCCAATGTATCTTTTTTAAGTACTCAGGGAGTCAATGGTGCCTTTATGTCCCTCAGTGGCCTAGGTCATAAAGAGAAAAACAATGGCTTGAATCCCAAATTATTTAACAGTCAAAGGCTGTTTCAGAAACACAATTCCTCCAGAAAGAGAGATTTGTATGATATTAGGCAGCTAAAGTCTCTTCCGGCCAGGCCCTTTGCTCTGGTTGAACATGTTAGATGAGAGAGGTCAATGTCCCCCAGCACCAATGGATGGGGCCGTGACAGTATTTCTGAAAGAGCAAACCAAGCCCAGAGCTAGCTTAGGGTAGAACTACTTGTTTCCTTTTGCATCAGTTGCTTCCTTTGCCTCCTCCTGTTTTACACAGCAAGAGAATTGTTTGGTTTTAGACAGATGTGTGCAACCAGCCCAAATATTGGCATGATAACAACTGATGGATTGTCAGTATCCAGTGCTGCTTTGTGGAGGGCATAAATGGAGCCTGGCTTTGAACAGGGGACTGACTCTGTCTAACTCAAACTGGGGCCCAGCCAGCATCCATGGGGCATGAAATGCATGAAGGCCCTGAGGCAAAGTAGGAATTGAATTTAGGATGGTATATAAAGCTTGGATATGAAACAAGTTTCCCTTCTTATACAGGGCTCCTGTAGCTTATGATTCCTGGTTAAATGTTAACAAGATTAGCACTGCTTTGGTTTACAGAATAATCCTCTACTGCTTTCTTGTTCTCCCACAGGGGATGGTATGAATGCCTATGTAGCCTACAAAGTTACAACACAGGTGAGTCCAAGTGACCCTTCTGATTGCTGCCTTAATAGACTTGGGTGCTTATACCAAGAAGGTCGTCATTCAGATTATTTCTGGGTATTTCTTTAGTTTCTTTGCCAAAATCTTCCTTCAGGTTTCCTCAAGATGGAGCAAGCCTGCATCCCCTTGGTAATCTCATCCAAACCTTTCCACTTTTCTTCCAGAGAGCTAACGTTTCAGTGTGAAACTTTGTAAGTTTTATTAGGACATGCAGTGTATCTGATACAGTCCTGTCCTTCTGAGGAACTATGTGGCTTAGAGCTAGTTTGGTTGGATTGCCCCAAACTATATATCACCTGTTTAAAAATTGTCAGTTCTTCTCACGTTTCCTATGTGGAACTTATTTTAATACTTTCCCTAACCTTTTGCCCTTAGGTCTGGTCTTCCTTTTTTATATAATATTAATGCATACAAAACTTACACAATGTTGTATGCATGTTATGAAGCATAAAAAATGAAGCCCTGAACCTACCACCATTCTTAAGATGAGTACCATTGAATCCCACCTGCGTCTCTCCCTGTCATATTCCTGCCTCACACCTTAGAGGTGATTACTCTTCTGAGTTGTCGCTCCTTTATTTAAAAAGTCTTCATATGTGTATCCCTAAACAATATACTGTTTTGCTCTGTTCTTGAATTTCATAAAAATGGCATCATGCTGAAAATAGTGCTTTCTTTACTGGCATTGTTCCTCAACCCATCCATATTGTGTGTAGCTACAGTTAGTTTATTGTGTGATTATAACATAAATACTTATCTGTTTTTATGTTGTGAACTAGAGGCCCAGTGCACGAATTCGTGCATGGGTGGGGTCCCTAGGCCAGGCTGGCAATCAGGGCCGGTTGGGGCCAGACCAACCAGGGGGCAGGGACAGGGGGAGGGACTGCAGGAGGTTGGCTGCTGGACCCAAGGAGGAAGCCAGCCCTCAGCCCCCCCTGGGAAAGGGTCCACATCCGCTGCCACCCACCCCTGGTTCCCCCGTCCCAGCCCAGGGCCCAAAGGCCTCGATGAGGTCAGGAGAGGAGGCAATGGCTGCCCCATCACCGCACCGTTCCCCGCCTGCCCCCACCCCTCCTTCCCTCGCAGCCACACTGCCACCGCATTGGGCAGTGGGCCGATTGGGGCCTGCTGGCCAGGGGGAGAGACCATGGGAGGTTGGCTGGCTGCAGGAGTTTGGCTGTGGGAGCGCACTGACCACCAGGGGGCAGGCGCTTAATGCAGGAGCTTCCCCCTGGTGGTCATTGTACATCATAGCCAACTGATTAACGGGTTGTTGTCGTAATGGTCACTTAGGCTTTTATATATATAGATATTTGGCATATTTGCTATTTTTATAGTTAAGAATTATGGACATTCTTGCATAGTCCCCTAGTGTACACATAGAAGAGTTTCTCTAGGGTATAGAGCCACGAATAGTTCCCCTGGGTCATGCAGATGTTGGAAAGGAATACAGCCTAGTCTTTGCACCAATTTATACTCCCATTGGCTGTGTAACAGTTCCTGTTGATACACTTTCTTGTTAATCATTGGCAAGGCCAATCTCCTTAAACTTTGCCTATCTGGTGAGTATTAAATGATCTCTCATTTCATGTAGACCTAGTTTTTTTACTAGAAGTCTGCTTTATGTTGTCTCTCTACTACTTGTTTCTCTGTCTCCTGTAAATTCTATATCCTGTGACACCTTAGGGGTTAAAGTGTGTACAGCTTAGACATTTCATCTGATCCTCCCCCTTAGAAGCACTGTTTAGTCTATCTTTAGTTTGGCTGCTTTAATTCCAGCAGCTAACATCCTTAATAAGTCAGTGCAGGAAGAATGGGTTATAGGTGACCATAGAATTCTAGCTCTAACATGTTTCCATAGAGCAAGGGTTCTTAACCTGGGAATGAAACTGTACGCTTGAATTTAATCGGCTGCCTTTTGTAATCCTATATATTTCATGCATTTAAAATCATTATTCTGAGAAGGGCTCTGTAGATTCCAGATAGCCAAAGGTAACTATAGCTCCAAAAATGTAAGAATCTCAGCCTTGGAGAAAGTTATTTACCAGATGGCTGAGACAGGGATCTGGGAAATAAATGCCTTTGATGTCAGCTGGACAATTTTCAAGATACTCCTTCATTCCTTATTTGGAATGAAACTGCCTTCTGTTTTTTCTGTCCCCAAGACGAGCTTACCAATGTTCAGAAGTAAACAGTTTGCAGTGAAAAGAAGATTTAGTGACTTTCTGGGTCTTTATGAGAAGCTTTCAGAGAAACACTCTCAGAATGGCTTCATTGTCCCTCCTCCACCTGAGAAGAGCCTAATAGGTAAGCCTGTGCTCTCTAATCCGCTTGGGTGTGTTCTTTGCATTCTTCTGCAATATATTTTCTACTGAAACTATTTCATGTAACAATGTAGAGTCTTGTGGTTAGAAAAGAAATATTTCCAGTATTTTCCCATAAGGCTCATGAGGTCTAAAGAAATAGCACGTTTTGACATGTTCTCTTTCCTTTGGTATAGTAGAATATCCTAGTGTTAGCTTCCACAGGTAGGGGTGTGTGTGTGTGTGTGTGTGTGTTGGTATCTAGGAGACTTAAATGATTGCTGTTCCTTCCAAATTGAAATGTAAATTGGATGGGGGTTGGAGGAAAGGAACCTTCCCATCATCCTCAGTTGATGTTTGATCTATACTCAGAGTCCCATGCCCCCCCCCCTTTTAGAAAACATAGACTCTGCAAGTCCCAGAGTCTAGATCCTTCAGCGCTTCAAGACTAATTTCACAAATGACACGCGTAAAGGACCTTTGGTTAATGCTTATGACATTGAAGTGGCCTTTGATTCTGTTTTGCAGTGCTGTTCTCATTGCCTTTCCTCCTATGGGCTTTCTTACAGGTGTACTCTTTTCATGATGATTATTAATTATTTTTGCTTTTTAAATTCCATTCCAGGAATGACAAAAGTAAAAGTCGGGAAAGAAGATTCCTCTTCTGCAGAATTTCTTGAAAAACGGAGGGCTGCTCTAGAAAGGTGAGTGCCATACAACCATTTTCCTGAGTAACATGAGGACTAGTGAGAAGCTGAAACCTTAGACTCAATTGTGAGACGTTCACTGGAGTTAGTAGAGATGAGAAACTTGGGTGAATGAAAGATTTACACCTTCATAGTATGCCTGACTTTCCCTAAGTCTCTTACCCACTCAGCTCAGGAACAGACCATCTTCTTTTCTTTCCCCATCCTGAGTAGGCAGGCAGTCCTCCTCTCCTTGGACAGTCAAATATGAATAACTGAGGTCTCTCTCTGACCAGTTATTTCTCTTCCCCTTTTAGAAATGTGAAGAACATGAACTTGAATGTGCTTACAAGCAGAGTTATACTTAAGCGCCTTATCTGAGGACATTTTAAAGCAATGAAAGACATTGTAACCCTGCCGGCACTCTATGACACTCAGAACCAGGGAGGCCAGCCTGACTAACCAGATAACTGCTTACCCCACAGGTACCTTCAGAGGATTGTGAACCATCCTACCATGTTACAGGACCCTGATGTCAGGGAGTTCTTGGAAAAAGAAGAGGTTAGTATTGTACGGACTTCATAATTGAATTTCATAATTGATAACTGTCCCTCGAGAAATGAAACTAGTTCATTCAATGAATATTTGAACATTTAACATGCATATAGGCTAGTACCAGACTATATCCTACTTTGTAAACACCTATGAGTGACAAGTATTTTCAGCCTTTGAAAGAAAAGAAGCTCTGCCTATAGTCAAAAGCAACTGGATGTAGAGGTCACACTGCAATCTAGTTTTCTTACTGGATCAACACAGTGATCTATTTGGCAAGTCCTTGGCATGTCTTTCATAGGTTACTACTTGCCTCAAATTGAATACATTTTTTTGTGCCAGGAGCTGAGGGGCATTGGTTCAAAACCAGTTACCACAAACCACAGAACTGCCATGTAGCAAAAGTGTTGATTCAAGTGAACAGTCTTTTTTTTACAGCTATCTGTAGGCTATTCACCATTGTAAGAAATTGGAGACAGCCCAATTGCTAACAATTGAAGAATTAAGTAAAACATATCAATACAGCAAGTACTTTGTTCTCATCATAAACAAAGTTTACAGAAGTGTTTATATATATTTGCTGGAAGCATATATTAAAATAATGATAAAAAGTGAAACATGAAACAGCATGAAAATACAGGTGTAGAAATATGTTAGTCGCCCTAACCGGTTTGGCTCAGCAGATAGAGCATCAGCCTGCGGACTCAAGGGTCCCAGGTTCGATTCCGGTCAGGGGCATGTACCTTAGTTGTGGGCACATCCCCAGTGGGGAGTGTGCAGGAGGCAGCTGATCGATGTTTCTCTCTCATCGATGTTTCTAACGCTCTATCCCTCTCCTTTCCTCTTTGTAAAAAATCAATCAAATACAGTTTTTAAAAAAAAGAAAGAAAGAAATATGTTAGTCATTAAGGATCAAAAGAAACGCTAGAGCCCTAGCCAGTTTGGCTCAGTGGATAGAGTGTCAGCCTGCAGACCAAAGGGTCCGGGTTCTATTTTGGTTAAGGGCGCGTACCTCGGTTGCAGGCTTCTCCCTGGCTCAGGCCCTAGTCGGTGCGTGCAGGAGGCAACCAATCGATGTGTTTCTATCACATCAATATTTCTCTCTGTCTTTCCTTCTCTCTTCCACTCTCTCTCTAAAAATCAATGGAGCCCTAACCAGTTTGGCTCAGTGGATAGAGTATCAGCCCAGGGACAGAAGGGTCCCAGGTTCTATTCCAGTCAAAGGCACATGCCTGGGTTGCAGGCTCAATCCCCAGTGGGGGGTGTGCAAGAGGCAGCCGATCAGTGAATTTCTCTCATCACTGATGTTTCTATCTCACTTTCCCTCTCCCTTCCTCTCTGAAATCAATAAATATATATATTTTTTTAAAAGCAATGGAAAAATATCCTTGGGCAAGGATTAAAAAAAAGGAAACACTATAATAAAATAATGTATCTCATAGGAAAGAAAACTAGAAGGAAATAAATAAAAGGGCAGGACTATATTTTGTATTTTTCATTTTGTTTTAATTTTTAATTTGCAAAAAGTATCTAGTATTCTAGTAAAGAAAATGCTACTAAGTATATGGGTCCCCCCCCCCCCCCCGCAAAAATGTAACTTTTTAATTAAAAATTCTGTCTGACGCTTTAAATCTTTTCATTCCTCCTCTGGGATTCCTAAGTCCATTCTTCCATTTCACCCACTTATCCCACTTTGTTCCCCTAGAGCAGGGTTTGTGTACACTGGGGCACTGGGGACACTCCGGGCTGGATCCTTTGCATTGTACAGC